GGACATTGGACTCCTCCCCCCAAACCTCGATGTAGTTCACGATCTCCGCACTAGACCAGGTGGGCACCTGCCTCTTGTGGCCCCGGGCAGGCTCCTGTGAGCTGCCAGCCTGGTCCTGGGAAGAGGCGGAGGGATGGCTGTCAGCGGGTGGTTGGCTCATGCCGTGCTAGGTGCAGGGTCTGCTGGTTGGGTGCTGGCAGGCTTGCACCTGGCACGGGCACCGTAGCCAGCCCGTGTCCCTTTAAGGGGTCCGGGGCCGGGAGGGGAGCAGACGAGTTTCCCTGGTGTTGGCCAGAGTGGCCACCAGGGAAACCTGGGGAGGGCTAGCCTCCCACTAGTTTGAATTAAGGGGCTACACACCCCTTAATTCGAACTAGCTAGTTCGAACTAAGCTTAATCCTCGTAAAATGAGGTTTTCCTAGTTCGAACTAAGCGCTTCGTTAGTTCGAATTAACTTCGAACTAACGGAGCGCTAGTGTAGCACCTATGAAAGTTAGTTCGAACTAACGTCTGTTAGTTCGAACTAACTTTGTAGTGTAGACATACCCTAAGTGAACACTGTTCATCTTGTACACTGAATGAGGCAACAGGAAGTCACAGCTTGGGCATGTAGGGAGCTGGGTAGCGTATATAACCTAATGTCTATATTGTACTCAGCTAAGCACTAGTTCACTGTTTACACAGATATTTACACCCATGCTAGTTGGGTATGCAGTGCCTGTACTCTGCATACTGCTGTAAAGTGTAGACATACCTTTAGAACTCTGCTCTGTCCCCCTCTGGTGGAGGCTGGGACACATATAGAGATAATAAGCTTACTATAGCCCTGACCAGGGCTGCATTTAGACAGCGGGGCCATTTCAGGATACCGGAAATATCCCAAAACAGCAATTCTTTGTCTTTAAACATACCCGTTTTTCAAAATATATTTAAAATTAATGGGTGCATTATTCCAGCGTCACTGTAGCCCTCGTTCCATGAGAGTTAAGGGACTTGTCAGAATAGCACTTTATTTCAAAGCTATGCAATTGCATAGTGCGAACTGCATAGCTTATTTCAAGGTAAGGGTGCTGTGTAGATGCTCCCTAATAGACTAGGGTGTTTTAGCTCACGTAGCAGAGGCTTCTCTTCCTTCTTTAGAACTTAATTCTGTTGTTTCCTAAAAGGAAACACTATTTATCTGTTAGTCCTTGATTTCTGGTACTTCTACATTATTCTAGATGTCATGGTTATCTATTAGTTAACTAGCCAATTAGCCCATCATAAGATGGGATTTTCAGGTCTCTCCTCCATGTTGGTCTTCTTGCCTGAGCCTCCGGTCTCTCGCTCCGTCTCTCTCTCTCTCTCTCCTCCTCCTACTGCCTCCCCTTCTCTTTCTCTCAGGTCTCCTCCGCCTCCTGCTTCTCTCTCTGTCTCTCTCTTTCTCTTCTGCCTCTCACTCGGGGGACCGCGGAGCCCAAATGGTCACTTGTGCCACTTGCTCCCACGTGGCGGCCTGGCTGAGCAGCAAAGAATTCAGCTGAGCGTCATGGCGGGAGGCAAAGGGGGGGCGGGGAAGGGATGTACACAGCCAGGCCCTGCCCCCTGGCCATGTACGTCTCCCCCCCGCCCCTCTTCTCCTCCCACCGTGGCAATTGGCTGACTTCTGCACAGCTCAGCCGGGCCACCGCAGGAAAAAAAGTGGCGCAAGTGGCCATTTGGGCCCTGCACTCCCCATACAGCATGGGCCACCCAGAGGGAACAGCCAGCATTTCAGCGTTACAGACTCTCAGACATTGGGCTACTATATATATGATGCAGCTGACCACTAGATGGAGGAACTAAATGCAAAAATCCCTAAGTCCTAAGGTAGGTAACTGTTCCCAACAAGAGTGGAATAAGGAGATCACCACTGAGGATCACAAGTGCCTAGGAGGCTGCTACATTCAGGTAATATTGCAGAATAATAGGTTTTTGTGTGGTTTCATTTGCACAAGTATATGAGCAACACAGACCAAAGAGGATATATAACACTTCTTATGCACCACTGATCATGACACTTCTGATATGACACTTCTCCTCTAACCCATTCCCCTTCCCCCTGGTGTCTTTGCCTGATGCTCTTATTTTCCCTTTAAACCTCTCCCAGTATCCCTACCATTTAGTTCCTCGCAGTCTAGGTGCCTCCTTTCCCTTCACCCTGCCACAGAAACTATAGTATTGGTTACAGTTACTTCTCCTGATATCTTCCCTGCCTCTGTGCACAACAATATGGGTGGTGATCAAACAAGTCCAATTTTCTACAGTCAATCATGCCCAGATCTTCAAGTGTGCCAGAGCACTGATCTAAACACCTGAGAGGGGAAGGTAAAGGCTGCTGCATGCTACTTTGTGTTCCCTGAATCCCAGGGCTGCCAGCGGTACTTCAGCCTATAAAAAAAATTTAGGGCTCCTCTAATATAGGCCAGTTTGTAATGCCCCCTAAAGGCTGTTACTCCAGCAAGGAGCACTCTTTACAGTGACTTTGGGCTCTAGAAGGGATGTAGTGTAGGCATGCATCAAGCCAATGAAGTTTCAAGGAAATTACTAGTCAGAATAAAAGCCACAACATAGTACATTCACCCTACTTATGCCATTGCACTGGATGAGTGGCACTGAGAGCAAATAAACTATTTAGCACCTTAGAAAGTGAAGCTAGGCATACACTCAGACTTTGATTTCCATCTAGTCTTTTCAAATAACTTCCAGTAAAGTGAATTCATCCTCCCATTCTTTACAGTAGTGTAGATATCTGTTTTAATTTAAACTTACTTTATTTCCCTGGTATTATAAATAGGAATTGAAGTAATTCTTTCATTACCTGCTACTTGTCATGCCTTACATCCTGTTATGGGACTATCTTAGGCCACATCTCCACTTGCGGGAAGATTGACACTGCAGCAGTCAATCTTCCAGTGTTTGATTTAGTGGGTCTAATAAAGACCCACTAAATTGAATGCTGAGGGTGCTCCCATCAGTGCCAGAACTCCTACTCATCACAAGGAGTAAGGGAAGTTGACAGGAGCATTTCTTCTGGTGACCTCCCACTGTGAGGCCAGCGCTGAAGCTCATCTTAACATATGTCGACTCCAGATACGTTTTTTATGTAGCTGGAATTACATACCTTAAGCCAACCTTCCCCCATGGTGTGGACCTGGCTTAGAGGGTTACTCTTTATAGCAAAGATGATGATCCACTGACCTGGCTCACTCTGCTTCCCTTCCAAAGAGTTGCTCATTTCTTGTTCTTCAAGTTCTATCAAGTTTTTCTTGGGGTCTGTGATGTGAATGAAGAAACTGTGGTGATCCTTTACCACCTTCATTTTTACTAAAGTTGTCCCTGAAAAGAACAAAATACAACTGTTTGTAAATGCTAGATGTTGAGCCCGAACTTCCAGTTTGGTGATACCAACAAGACAAAAAGATAACTTAGTTAAGGTAGGCCAAAATGCTTAGTAGAAATATAAATACAAAATTAAGAATAGGAAAATTTAGATTGAATATCAGAAAAATCTTGCTACAGTCAGATCTATTTGGATGTGAAAAAAATCTTCCAATGACCCATTTTTTGGGACATTAAAATCCAGATTGTACAAATCACCAGTTGCTAATGGATGGACTAAAGAGGACCTAGTTGGTCTCTATTTCTAATTTTCACATTCTATAATTATCCACCAATTGATAAAAACATGACAAAATATCAACATTATAATAATACAGAAATATAATGCAATTAGTAACTATTCCACAAGTTGCACAAGAAATCGTGAATTTAATACAGAGATGTGAAAATAATTTTATTATTACTGAAAATAGTTTTGGAATTCTGATACTGAATAGGGAAGATTAACCATTTCTACAAACATAATAGTTATAAAAAGTTCTCAAGTAATATCCTTTAAACAGTGTCCCATTTCATAAATATTGTTTTCAAGTGCACATCCATCTCATCAATCAATAATAAAATGGAATGAAATATAGAAAGGAAAATTCACCTTTCTCAAATGTTATCTTTTCTGCTTGAATCTGTCCTCCGTCAGTGGGGAAAAGATACTGACTGGTCCCTGAGACTTGAATGAGATTCTCCCCCAAGTTGTAGCCAAGAAACTGGAAAAATAAATGCAAGACTATGTGTGGATTGGAAAGGAATAAGGCATGAAGGAGGAAGATGGAAAACAAACAAGATTGCTTTCTTCTAGTTGATTTTATTCAGCCATTAAATGCTATTATACAGTGATTATCACGTAGAGAATTATTAGATCTTGGCAGAGGAAATAGTAGCTTACTTACACTGATACCACTTTCAAATGACTAACAAAATATGGGACAAACTATTCTCCACTACACCAATATTCAACCCTATTATTATGAATGGGGATGTCTGGGTACAAGGGAAAGCAGAATTTGGTCTCATAAGAACATATAAAATCACTTCTTCACTGATATACGACCATTTCTGGGGTTAGAGAGTGGTGGATTTGTTGTTTGCTCACCATGGCACAGAGAGGAAGGAGAAATTCTGGCCAAGCACACTGAGATAAACTATTACTCTGGTGAAAAGTGCCATAAGATCTTTAAGATAAAGACAGGACTTTGGTTTTCAAGGTCTTACCCAAAATATCCATGAATACAAAATGGCATGTAGCTTGACCTATCCACAGTGAAAGCTCTGAATTGACTTAAAGAGATGTAAGCTTTTGGCTGCAGGAGCTCTACATCTTTAGCATCTGATACTTAGGGTATCTCTATTCAGCTCAGTAAGCTTGGATCTGTGTGTCTTGCATCTATGGACTTAATCTTTCCAAGCTTCAGCACCCATGATGCATTGGAAACCCAGGCCTCATGAATATGCTGACATGTCCATGCTCCGCTGCACAGACCACAGTCAGAATTTCAGCTTCTTTGGGCTTATGCCACCACATATATTCCAGGGTTCCAAATTCCTACCACCTTCACCAGCTGTCACTACCCTAAGGCATGGTTCCTGATTGCTTAGGGGCAAATTTATTTGTCCATCCTGTGGGAGCTAAGTGTTTTGTGTGGTAAACCATTTTGTGTCTGTACATTCCCAGCAGATAGAGTCATCAACACTTCTACTCGCTTTGTTAGTCCTATTTCAGAAATGAGGCAGAGCAACTCCAAAACACTGGTGGACATTTAAGCAGCAGTTTTTGACCTGCCAAAGGCACCTAGGTGATGCTGTTCATGCCTACTACATTAGCTGCACATTCCACATATGTAGCCTTTTGCTTCTGGAGCGGGGCCACAAGCAGACTGATGGCCTACAATATTACGCACTCTGGGATGACCAGCAGTGGCTGTGCAACTTTTGCATGAAGAATTAGTTGTTCCTAGAGTTAGTGTTCACTTGCCCCATCCTTCAAGCATCATGACACCCAAATGAAGATATTATACCAGCCCAGAAGTGGGTAACTACAGCCATCTAGAAGCTGGGTATACCAGATTGCAACAGATCCATTGCTAACCAGTTTGAAGTTGGCAAACCAACTGTGGGTGTTGTGGCAAAGGCTTATGAGGCCATCAAAAATCTGATGTACCCAAAGATAGGGGAAATTACAACTGTTCCTGAAATAATTGCTGGGTTTAAGAGAATGGGCTTTCCAAACTATGCTGGGGACAGTGATGGAACTCATGTGCCTGCAGTTTGCCCTCTGCAAAGAGCACACGTGTGTCACTGCAAAGAGTACATATCGTAGGTCCTGGTCAACTCCTGGGGCAGATTCACAGACACTGGCAGAATGTATGATTTTAGGGAGTTACAGAAATCAGGAATTTATCTTCACGCAGAAGCTGGAACATTATTTCCACGGAATGACATTGCTTTCAATAGAATCATTGACCCTACTGTTATTCTAGGGGACACTGTTGACCCTCTGTTGCCAGGGCTTATGAAGCCACACCTTGATTTCAGAGGACCTGGGAAAAGTTTCAGCTACACACTCAGCAGCTGTAGGATGGTGATGGAATATGCATTTGGTAGATTTTGTTGATGATGCCTTCAAAACTACTTTGATGCCAGTGTCATCAATGAAATCTGCATTACTGGGGCCTACTGTGTTCTACATAAGGTCTGCATGGACAAGGGGGAACTTTTTAATCCAGCAGTGGACTCAAGACACTGATGTATTTCTGAATGGTGCACATAGCCATATAGTGCACCTATCATCATGCAGCTGTGAGGGTCCAGTGGTTAAGGGATTGGACTTGAAATCCAATAGGGTTTCCCCACACAGATTCAAATCCTGCTCACAGTGAGACCTGTGTTTAAGGTGCTCCAGTAGCACAACTGGCTGGTGTGCAGTACTTATAGGGCAGTCTGGTGTTCTTGTATTCTATGACTGGTGCAGAATCCAGACACACTACAGCAATCAGATGTTTTGTTTGCCTGATTAAGTAGTTTGCATGGTCCCATGCCTAAGAAGGGAATGAAGTGATAATCTGAAATATTATTAAACACTTTTAACACCGCACATCATAAAGCTTGTCACTATCGCAAATTTAACACTTTACTTACACATAACTGTGGCAAACTGCCATTGTTTTATTGCCCATACCCACTCTATGCCCTATCCTTCACCATGGTGTAAGTGCTGTAAATTAGGGCGACTGTTCAAACTTGTACTTGTCCAGGCAGTACTGAATCAGGGAGCTGCAATGGGCTCTGTGGGGTCCTCTCTCACCACTCTGTAACATCAAGGCCTATATCTCTGAAGGGGGAATCCTTCCAATGCACATACTATTTCTGGGCACAAAAATCTAATGAATTTTCACTCATATTCATTTCATATGTACAAAAAAATCCCAGAAATATAAGGAAGAAAGAATAGGTTCAACTGCTTATATAATGGAGTTAAAGAAGAAACAATTAGGGTTAACTTGTCCCTGACTCTAGTTTCACACCTGGGTGATAGCACTAATGGGCCATGTCTTCACTACGTGGAAGATTGACGCTGCCCCATCAATCTTCTGGGATTGAATTTAGGGGGTCTAGTAGAGACCCACTAAATTGTACTCACCATGTGCTCTCTTCAGCACCAGTACACCTGCTCCTCATGAAGAGTAAGGGAAGCTGATGGGAGCATTTGCTCCCACTGGGCACCCACTGTGTGGACGGCATGGAAACATGATATAAAAGATACACTGACTCCAGCTACATAATTTATGTAGCTGGAGTTGCATATCTTACTTAGACCTTCTGATGTAGTGTAGACCAGGGTATCAGGTCTTGGCAGTTTAAAACGCTAACCCTTTTCTAATATGTAATGTGATTTCTCACCTCATAAAATTTCTCAGAAGGTGGGGCTGGGGTACTGTGCTCCTCAAGTTCAGGGGGTTTTGCTGGCTCATCTTTAGACTTCTCTTTAGAAGCTTTTGTCTTGGGCCCCTTGCTGTCTTCAGGAACTGGTATCTCCTTACCCTGTCCTTTCTTTTTACCCCCTGACTTTTCTTTCTTCTCTGCTTTCTTTTCTTCCTTTTGTCGTTCTTCCTCTAGTAGTCGATCTTGCTCTTCCTTCCAAGCCTGTTACAAAAATTTAAGACTTCAGGTAACTGTTTTTATCACAGATGCTGACTGTTCTATAATATACTCTCCATTTGCAGCTTTAATTCAGCCTCCTGAACTGGTTATGAATTTTGAGACAAAGTAAAATTTTGGAAAACACCTAAGTAACTTGAAAGTCAATGGGATTTTTCAGAATATTTTAATGTTTATAGAATTTCGTATGTTCACAGTATAACTCTCAATTCAGCTACAACTGTGAGTGTTCATAACTTTTACAAATTATGCATCTAGTTGCTCAAGTTAGGCACCCAGAAAATGTTTGTATTTTAGATGCCACTGCACTGATGGTTATTTTGAAGATAGTACATGACTTATTTGAACTCAAAAGCACGATAAGAAGAATGTTGAGGTGATCTTGTTTGAGATCATTTGTGTCTCATGAGAAAAGAAAGTCAGAAAGCAGAAGATTCTGGAAGTGAAAAGCTAGTGAGGCAAGTAGTATAGGATTTTGATTTGGTGGAACATCGGTTAGCCTTTTGTGGGAAGAGGGACTTGTATATTTTGGATCACCTCATCTCAGTAGAAAAGAGACCAATCTCCTCAGGGACAGGCTGGCTAAAGTAGTCAGGAGAGCATTAAACTAATAACAAAAGGAGAGGCTATAAAGAGGGAAGATATAAGAGTTAAGATAGCACAAAATTGGGATGTTGGAAACAAAATTAACTAAGGAACACAAAGAAACGAAGAGAAGAAAGTCTTTAGCTTCTAATGCACAAAATATAGGAGTCTAGGTTACAAATAAGAGTAACTGGAATTCCTTATTTATGAGCATTAATTTGCTCTAGTTAGTATTAAAGTAACATGTTGGGATGTTTACCATGATTGGAATGTTAAAATCAATAGAAATGACCTACTTAAGAAGGAGCAAGGGTGCAAAAGGGAAATGGGAGTGGTACTGTATCAAATACTTGGATGTTGAGTGCTCCTGGATCAACATGCTACCATAGAAAGCACAACATGGGGTATTAGTAGGCAACTGGTTTAGACCACCAAATCACACTAAGGATTGGTTCCTTACATACCAATCTCTAATGTGTAGAGAAATATGCTGTATGGTTATTTGGGATTCAATCTCAGTGACATGCTACGGGGCTCACTGATGGGAGAAATTGGGAGAAAACATCCTGGGAATTTCATAGTAGTATAGATGACAAGTTCCTAACACAAAAATTCAAGAATTCAACAAGGGAGAATTCTATATTAGACTTTGTCCTACCAGATAAAGAGGAACTGATTACAGAACTAAAAATAATGGTAACTGAGATATAAGTTTTCATGATTTCATCACATTTATAATGTGCAAACAGAATAAAGTTGAGACTAATAATGTATACAGCCAGTGTTTTCATAGGGCCAATTTCATAAAGCTGAAAACAATTATGAGCCAAATCAGGTAGGAAAAAGATTTTAACTGGAAAAATGTGAAAGGTAATTGGGAATTGTTTAGATGCCACAAAACCACAATCTCACAATTGAAGATGAATTCTGTATTGTTTAAGAAAAAACAAACAAACAAACAAAAAAACAAAACAAACAAACAAAAAAAACCCCAACCAATCTGGTTTAGAAGGGAAATGAAGGCAACTGTTAAATAACATAACAAATGGAAGAAAAGGGATGCTGGTAGTAATGAATGTAAATCGGATGTTAGGAATTATAGAAAATTGAGAAGAGATGCAAAGGGACATAGGAAATCCATAGCACACTGAGTAAAGGACTATAAAAATAAATTTGTTAAGTACTTTATGAACAAAAAAAATTCTAAAAACGGCATTGGTCAATTATCAGATTTAAATGGTAGAGTTATCAATAATAGGGATGATCTAGATGGTGCTTGGCCCTGCCGTGAGTGCAGGAGACTGGGCTTGATGATCTCTCGAGGTCCCTTCCAGTTCTAGTATTCTATAAGGGTACGTCTACACTACAACGTTAATTCGAACTAACTTAGTTCGAATTAGTTAATTTGAACTAAGCTAATTTGAACTAATGGATCCAGACTAAAAAACTAGTTCGAATTAGTGTTTTGCTAATTCGAACTAGCATGTCCACATTAAGTGGACCCTGAACAAGGCTTAAGGATGGCCGGAAGCAGTGCCGGCAGGGCATCAGAGCGTGGAGATGCTGTCTCAGGCTAGCCGAGGGCTGTGCATAAAGGGTCCCGACCCCCACCCCGGACAGACAGTTCTCAGGGGTGCCCCGCTTGCAAAGCAGTCCTGGCTTGGATTGCCCGGAGTACCCACACTGGGCACATCACAGCACTCGGCCATCAGACCGGCTGCACTTGCCGCAGGCTGCCATCTGGAGAGAGGGGCAATTGGGGGGCTGCAGGAGAGCTTCCACCCCCAGAAGCCCGCAGAGCCAGCCCAGTCCTCCCCATTGGGGGCGGGTACCCCATTCCTCCCTCCCCTCCTTCCACTTACCCTTCCCTAGCCCCTCTTTTTGATGTACAAAATAAAGGACAATTGTGTTCAAAAATGGAATCTGTCTTTATTGAACAAAACTGGGGGAGACTGGGAAAAGGAAGTGGGAGAGGGGAAGAGAGAGGCTGGGAGAGGGAAGGGCAACTAAAATGATCAGGGGTTGGGAACAGGTCCCATATGAAGAGAAGCTAAAGAGACTGGGACTTTTCAGCTTAGAAAAGAGGAGACGGAGGGGGGACAGGATAGAGGTCTCTAAAAGCAGGCTGCTCGTGGGTGGCCAGGCTGGCAGCTCTCCTGCCCTAGCCAGCCACTTTCCTGTGCCTAGTGTGGAGGTTGTGGACGAGGTCCACGATGTCCGCACTAGCCCAGGTGGGTGTCTGCCTCTTGCGGTCCCGGGCAAGCTCCCGGGAGCCGCCAGCCTGGTCCTGGGAAGAGGGGGAGGGCTGGGGGGCATCGGGTGGGTGGCTCGATCTGTGCCAGGTGCAGGGTCTGCTGGCTGGGTGCTGGCAGGCTTGCACCTGGCACGGGCACTGTAGCCAGCCCGTGGCCCTTTAAGGGGTCCGGGGCGGGGAGGGGGGCAGACGAGTTTCCCTGGTGTTGGCCAGAGTGGCCACCAGGGAAACCTGGGGAGGGCTAGCCTCCCACTAGTTCGAATTAAGGGGCTACACACCCATTAATTCGAACTAGCAAGTTCGAACTAGGCTCAATCCTCGTAAAATGAGGTTTTCCTAGTTCGAACTAAGCGCTCCGCTAGTTTGAATTAAATTCGAACTAGCGGAGCGCTAGTGTAGCGCCTATGAAAGTTAGTTCGAACTAACGAACGTTAGTTCGAACTAACTTTGTAGTGTAGACATACCCTAATAGAGAAAAGGCAGAACTGGTCAATGGAAAAACAATGATGTAGTCATATCATGATTATATTATTTTCATTCTCCTAGGACAGGGGTGGGGAATCTTTTTTGGGTTGGGGGTCGCTGCTCCACAGAAAAATCAGTCAGGGGCTGCACATAAAAAACAAACCTCAGTGACATGGCCCCTGACTGAGAAGGAGAAAGACACTCACCACATTCTCCTTACACAGCAGAGCCCAGGCTAGTACATTATATATGTTCTAGCACTACAGGGGGGTCTGGAATGCCAGTGTGGGCTCCCCAGTGCTGGAGGGAGAGCCCTGAGCCTCGGGGGCTGGATCCAGGTAAACTGGGGGCTGCATCTGATCCCTGGCCTTAGGTTCCTCATCCCTGCTCTCGGATCCCTGGAGAAAGTCAAACAGCAGCTATCAAATTTAGACTACATTTTAAATCAGCAGGTCCAGATAACTTCATCTAGGGTGTGGTCTACACTAGGAGTTCAGGTTGAATTTAGCTGCATTAGGTTGATTATCTATACAATAAGTCATGCCACCAAGCCCATTCTGTTGACTTTAAGGGTCACTGAAGTTGATTTTGCTACTGCTTTTCACAAGGAGTAATGCAAAATTCTGCCTTGCACGGTCAAATTCATGGTAGTATAGACCCAGCATTGAGAAAGTTGAGTTTCTTGGCCTCTGGGAAGCCTCCCACAGTGCCCTGCTCTGACCATTCTGGCCAGAACTTGTGCTTCTATTGTGCTCCAGGTGAACAGGAAAAGCTCCAGGAAAGTCTGAATTTCATTTCCAGTCTGGCCACCATTGTGAGCACACCTCAGAGCAGGAAGCACACATGAGCAGCACTCGTGGCCATAACTTCCATGAGTTAAAGTTCCATGGATACCAGTTCCCAGGGGTATGAAAAAAGCACCAGCATGGAACATATAAATGATCTTGGACTTCATCAGGTATGGGGAGAGGAATCCATTCTCTCAGAGCTCTGAAACAGCAAAAGAAATGCCAATATTTATGCAAAGATACCAAAGTGCATGGTGAAGAAAGGATACTCCAGGAACACCCAGCAATGCTGTATTAAAATAAAGGCACTGAAGCAGTCCTATCACAAAACAAAAGAGGCAAATGAATGGTCTGGTGCATTACTGCAAACATGACGGTTCCACGACAATCTGCATTGGTGGGATCCAACCAGCTTCCTAAGCCAGACCATGGAATCCGCCCAAGACACTCAAAGCAGCAGCATGGAGGGCAGTGTGGTGGTGAAGGGGGAGGAGGAAAATGACCAGCCAGCAAGTGGCAAGAGCGAAGAACTTTTCATCACTTTGGAGATAATTCCCTTTTCCCAGGATCTCTCACAGTTGGGTACTAATCCTGGGGAGGGGACTTTTGGTGAGTTCACAATATTTTTCTTGCTACATGCGGGTTAAGACTATTGGATGTCATGTATGGCGTACTCTGTGCTGACACAGCATGGCAGGCCTGGAACAGCTTGTTAACATGTCTGGAAATGGGGTGGGAATCCTCCCTGCATATCTCTATGAAGCTCTAAGATGGGAACTCTTTGATCCTTCACACAAGGCTTCTGAGGCAGCCGCTTTATTCCGTCCTCCACTGTTGGACACCTTCCCATGCCAAACAAGCAGTAAGTGGCCTGGTGTCATTGCAGCACAAAGCACTGCAGCATAAGGCCCAGTTTCTGGCCACATTTAGTCAGCATCAGCTCCCTTTCAATCTTTGTGATTCGGAGAAGACTGATATCTTGCATGGCAACCAGGATAAAGGAGGAGGGGAAGCTATTAGCTGCTCCCACTGCTGCTAGCATGGATGGCTCAGCCTCTGGCACCTCCTCTCTCCCTTCTGCCCTCCCACCCACAGGTTTCTGTGGGATGAGAAAGTAGCACTCTCCAGGGAAGCGGGGTAGGGCAGACAAAGGAGGGAAGCCATGTGAGTCACCCTGTTTCCCCCTCCCACCCACAGGATCGTGTCCTGGCAAGTCCCTTACCATGCCTGTCTCCAAACTACCTGAGTCCAGATGTTTCCTTGAGAACTTTGTTGTGTATCCGCTATACAGTGGCTGCTTGTAAGCATAACTTTGGCTTTGCACAGAACATGCCTCCATTGTCTTTAGGGAGACCTTCACTGAATGTTAACACATTAGGTTTTAGGCTCCACAATTTATCTCCTGTAATATGCGCCCTTGTAAAGTTAATTTCAGAGCGAACAACAGGAAGCTTGCTGCATACTCCCCCAGCTCCAGCAGTTGTCCGGCTTGCACAAATTCACAAGTGAAAATGGACAAGGGAAGACACGTTTAAGGAAATGGGTTGGAGGAATGCATTCCTGAAGGAGATACAAATGGAGAGGCAGGACAGGATAGCAGAGCGGCAAGAAAAAGGAAAGCGTGCAGGCAACTGCAAGCGAAGTAACAGGAGAATGTCTTTTTGTCCCTGATGGCTGGGATGGAGAGCCGGGTGGTGAGCCTGGAGAGGTACCCCCCTCCACCCCATGCAGAAAACTTTCTCTTCTCACTCAGTTCCATAGTCTCCACCTTCAGGGGCCCCAGGGAATGCAGGAGGGATGACTCAAAGGCAGCCTCATAGTCAACATCCAGGGCCTCAGGAGTCAGAAGGCTGTTTTTCTCGCGTTTCTGACCGCTCCTCCCCTTGGATCCCTCCATGGACTTTTCTGTCCAGGCTGTCTTCTGTAAAAACACACGATCTCTGAAAAAACAGTCTGTTTATTGCTTATATTGCAGAGGGTGGGCTGGGGGATTACAGGCAAACACAGTGAATGCAGGGGCATCTCACAGAGCAACGTCCATGACTCTCCAAACTGGCCATTCATAAAACCTTCTTTCAAAACCTCTCTGATTTGTATTGCCCCATTTGCACTTCTTATCTTGGTGTCTGACTGCTCAAAATCTCTGGGTAGGTACTCTGCCTCAGCCCCTCCCACCCTGCCAGATAACGTTCACCCTTGCTTTCACAAATATTATAGAGCACACAGTAGGTTGCCATCACAAATGGAATGTTGCATTCGCTGAGGTCTAATCGAGTCAGTAGATTCCTAAACCTTCCTTGAAATGCTCAAAATCACACTCAACCACCACCGAATGTGAATGAACTTGCTCAGCTTGTACTTGAACTGCTCCTTACTGGGGTCCAGGTGGCCCATGTACAGGTTCATGGAGTAGGCTAGGTTGCCAAAGATCACTATTGGCATTTCTACCTCTCCGATTCTAATTTTCCAGCCTGTAAAAAAAGTTCCAGCTTGCATCTTTCGGGAGAGCCAGGAGTTCCTAAAGATGTGCATGTCATGCATCTTTCCCAACCATCCCACGCTGATGTTGGTGAAATGGCCCTTGTGATCTCCCAGTGCCTGCAACATCAGCGAGAAGTACCCTTGTGGTTTATGTACTCCTTGGCAAGGTGGTCAGCCCAAAATGGGGATGTGCATTCCATCTATTGCCCCACAGCAGAATGGTATTGATTGCTTTGGCTATTTGTATAACAACAGGCCCCAATGTAGATTTCCTCATTCCAAATTGATCCCCAACTGACCAGTAGCTGTCTTGCGTTGCAAGCTTTCACAGGGCAATTGCCATGCACTTCTCCATGTCAGAGCAGGTCTCATTTGGGTGTCCCTGTGCTTCAGGGTGGGGAAAAGCCATTTGCAAAGTTCCATGAAAGTGACCTTGTGCATTCAGAAGTTTTGCAGCCACTGCTGATCATCCTATACCTGAAGCACTATGCGGTCCCCCTCTCTGTGCTTGTTTCACACACCAAAACCAGAATTCCATTGTTTCCAGAGGATTGAATGCTGGCTGTTTCCAATTTGCTCAATGCTAGGGCTTGCCTGTACAGCGTGCCCGTGGTACCCAGAGATGGAGATTCTTCCTTGTCCTCTTCCTGGTGGAGTGACATACTTGTGCCCTTGAAACAGTGCACCATCAGACACATGAAACTTTGATGAACAACAAGATTCACTGGGGTGATGTTTATGGTTGCACTGCTATGGCATCTGCATGGGTAACTAGGGCCAAAAAAGGTGCAAAAAGATTGCAAGTGCATTATGGGATGTTGACAACATGAACCCAGAACCACCCGTTGCACGGTTTTGATCCCAGTGTACATAGGGAGCATAACCCAGAATGCAAAGTTGCATCACTCAAGTCAACAGCAGTCTCCCTAATGGAGACGCGCTACTTCAAACTATGTTGAATTCTTGTGCACAGTGCGGACATGGACCTTTGACTTACAAAATTGTGACACAATAAATGTGACCTTATCTCATAGTGTAGACATGGCCTAAGAAAAACAATAAGGATTCCTGTAGCACCCTAAAAACGAAACAGATTTATTTGGGTATAAGCTTCTGTTGGTCCCACAAAAGCTTATGCTCAAATACTTCTGTTAGGTGTCACAGGATTCCTCATTTTTTTTTGCTTATATCTAAGAGTTTAAAGATCTGGATGAGGAAATTGTTGGCTCATTAATGAGGATTTTTAATATTTTGAACACCAGGAAAGTTCCGGAAGACTGTTGTGCCAATATTTAAAATGGGTAAATGATAGTATTGTCAATCTGACATCAATCCCAGGCAATGAAATACCTGATGCAGGACTTGATTAATAATGAATGAAAGGAGAATAATATAATCAACGCAGATTAATATAAGCTGATATCTGTTTTTATGAGATTACAAGATAGGTTAATAAAGGTAAAAGTGTTTGATGTAATAGGCATTTGATTGGTACCCTACTACATTTTGATGAAAAAACCCTAGAAAGATACAAAATTAACATGTTACACATTAGATGGATTAAAAGCTGGCTAACAGATAGGACTCAAAATGTAATAGTAAATGGGGAATCATCATCATCAAACTGATGTGTTTCAAGTGTGGTTCTGCAGGGGTTGGTCCTTGCCCCAACACTTTACAACACTAGTATTAATGACTTGGAGGAAAACATAAGAACATCAGCGATAAAATTTGCAGATGACACAAAATTAGGGTAATGGTAGATACTCAAGAGAACAGGTCTCTGATACAGAGCAATCTGAATCTCTCAGTGTACTGGGTGTGTACAATGTACATTTAAAATGGCTAAATTTAAATGAATATTTTTAAGAGCAAAGAATGTAGGCCACATCTTGACAAACAGTGACTCTGAAAACTATTTGGGGGTTATGATGGCTGATCAGATGAACATGAGCTGCAAATGTGCTACTGTGGCCAAATGGGCTAATGAAAAACTTCTATGCATAAAGAGGGGAATTTTAAATAAGAGTAAAGATGTTATTTTGCCTTTGTATTTGAGATGGGTGTGACTGCTGCTGAAATACAGTGTCCTGTTCTGTTGCCCACAATTCAAGACTGATGTTGATAAACTGGAGAAAAACCCTCCAGAGAAGAGACATGAGAATTAGATTTGAAAACATGCTTTATATGGAGAAACTAAATATATTGAGCTCTTTGAGTCTAATAAAGAAACTGTGAAGGGGGGACTTTGATCAGATACATATCTACACGGGAAACTAATATTTAACAAAGGGTTCTTCAATCTAGCAGAGAAAGGCATAACATGGTGTAATGGCTGTAAGACAAATTCAGACTGGAAATAAGGCGATATTTAAGAGTAATTAATCATTGGAACAACTTACCACCAGTTGTGGTAGATTAACCATCACTGACAATTTTTAAATCAAGGTTTTATGTTTTTCTAAAAGATCTTCTGGAGGAATTATTTTGGGAAAATTTTCTGGCCCATGATTTACAGGTCAGACTACATGATTAAGGTTCATCTTGCTCTGTGTTCAGCCCTGGCCTTGATCAGTAGGGAGTAAGGGACTGTGATGTGGTCAGTAAGAACCCCTGCTTAGTCCCCCACAGCAGCTCATGGAAGGCTTAGGGAAATCATCAGAGTGCTGCATGGTGAGGAACTGAGAATGGGGTCTGCCATTTGGAGCATTAGCAGGGATGTGTCAGTCCGTCGGTCCGTCCTGGTCGGGGAAGGGGAAGGAATACAGGGTGAAAGGGCCCAGCCCCAGTGTGGGAATTGGGAGAGATCAGATCCACAGCTTAAAGCATGAGCAGATGCTTTTGGGGCCGTCTATACATCCCCATAGCCAGACATGGCCCCCTCATACACCCGAGTCCTCCTGCCAGGGCATGAATCCCTCAACACTCCAATCCTTCTGCTGTCATAAACAACCCAGTCCCTCCACCTGCTAGGCCACTCACCCTGATCCCTTCTGCCACACAGAATCATAGAATACTAGAACTGGAAGGGACCTCAAGAGGTCAAAAAGGCCAGGGCCCCATCACACAACCCAATCTACCAACTGGGAAAACACTATTGTACTTTTGGTTTTCTTGTCTGACCTTGAGGGAGCCTTCTCTGATAAAAAGATTTTTTTCTGGAAGTTCCGGTGTGACCTCTGCTCTACTGTCTGGTCTTGATGCACTGCCTTTGAGACATGAGAGGGGAAGAATAAGTATGTCACATAATAAAACAAAATAAATATAAATAAAACAAAAAAGTCTGGCTCAGTACAAAGGCCAGGATGGATTCTCCTTTTAAAATCCTTGTTTCTTTGGCCAGAAGATCAGAAGGACAGATATTCTGGTGTTTCACTGTTATTATTTAATTGTATTACAATTCAATGGCAAAAACCTTACACCAATGGAGAATTAAGGTTGTTTATTGGTATGTTGTTCTATTGCAGAATGCTGAGTTGAGTAAAACTCAAACTTTTGAGGACTGGGAATCAGTTTTCTGGATTAAAAATGGATTAAAATGGAAAAATGGAAAAAATTGATTGAAAAGGAAAAATACCAACTTTTTATTTTCTTAGGAGATGCAGCATTTTTGCTAGTGGAGGCATTAGGTATATCCTCAGAAGCTAATTTAAGGGCCTCTTGTTCCTTAGCAATTTTTTCTTCCTGATACTTGACTTCTTCCTTTGTCACCCAGTCTTCAATTGAATTGGCTACCAGTTCCAGATAGTTCCTGAAAAGAACCACATTCCTTCTATTAACCGTGAAAATACTGTGTTAATTAATATGATAACATAAAATAATCACTTTTTCATTTTGCCTTTTACTACAGAGCTGGGGTCGGCAATGTACAGCACACATGCCATCAGTGGCACGCAAGCTGATCTTGAGTGGCATGTGGCCTGGCCAGTGGGACTGAACCTTCCCCTCCAGCCACCCTCATCCCAGCACATGCTGGCAATCCAGCATCGTGCCCCCCTGCAAGATTGGAGCCCTCGCTGGCTTCTGGGGGTGGGGGAAGGGGAGCCTTGAAGCTCCACACTGCATCTGGTTTACAGAGAAGCATGCGTGAATAGCTGCTTCCGTCCCCACAGGAAAAGCCAGAGTGGAGCCCAGGGCAGGAGGCCAAGAAGGGCACATGGTGGAGAGACCCCCGCCCCCAGGAGAGTGGCAGGGTCCAGGGCAGGAGCGTTAAATCTTGGCACGCCACTTCAGAAAGGTTTCTGACCCCTGCTATAGAGAGTCTTGGTTTTCTAGTTGCTATCTGAACACTTTATCATAATTTTTAGGAGTTGGGTAGCATTTACCAGGGTTATTTTTCTGTATGGGAATATTTTTTAAATCTTTGCCTTACTAAACTTCGCTCACTACATTTTGGCTGTGTCTACACTGCACCCCTTTTCCGGAAAAGGAATGCAGATTAGACACATCGGAATAGTAAAATCTGCGGGGGATATTTAAATACTTTCAAGTAGGAATAAAAGATCCTCCGGAAAAGGGCTTATTTTCCGGAGAATCACGTCTAGATTGGCGCTTTTCTCCGGCTTATCCCCAAGCCGGAAATAAGCGACAGCCATGTTAATGCAAATACCGCGGGGGGATATTTAAATCCCCCGCAGATTTTGCTATTCCAAAGTGTCTAATCTGCATCCCTTTTCCGGAAAAGGGGTGCAGTGTAGACACAGCCCCAATGTTTAACATTTTAGCTCTCTTTCTGCAAAAACATCATCTACCAAAAAAAGTCCAGCTAGCTACAAATCACCATCATTCATTCAACTTTAACAAGGGTCAGTAAGAAGAGTCAGAAATCTGATGGTTTATAATTCCATTGACTTCACTAGAGTTACTTTTGATTTATACTGATTGGCCTTAGCATTTAATTATATCCACGTTAGAACTCTCTGTATCTGCAGCACCAAAGAGCAGATTTGTCTCAACTAATCTTGAAGCCAAATCAGGAAAACAGAGGGAGAACCAGGTGAACATCTCCAGTGACCTGTTGTGATGTGTGCCCCCAAATCAATCAGTCATTCACATATGTGGACAAGTGAAGGCCTTGTCTCTGCAGGTGAACTATTACCACTGAGAGTCATTTAGTAATCAGGATGTTTGCTTATGTCAATTCATGCAGCTCACAGGAAATATCTGTTTCATGGTCATGGTCAATGGCCTTCAGGACCAATTCCAAAATCCTCACATGCATTCTCCACATTCAGTCACCACATTTCAGAAGTGCTTTTCCATTGCCAGGCTTTCCGTGCCCATTTGAAGCTAACAACCGAAAAAAATATATTACCTGAATCCAACATCAGTGTGAAGTGCAATATCCCAGGATTCCTTGCACTGACGATGTTTGTTCATTGGATTATGAAGAACTATAAGCAGAGAGTTATCTTGGGTATGGTAATAGGAATCAATACACCTGTACTGTTGGGTTGCATTGTGTAAAACCTGAAAATGAAAAGCAATTAATACTTAAGACACATCCTCCATACAGTCAAATGGCAAGCCCAACTGCTACAAGAGGATTTTATTGTGCACCACTGACAGTGTGTCCATAACGCAAAGGAAGGCTTTGCCTTTCCACACAGGTGCTACAGAAGTGCTGCCAAAAATGATGCTAAGGTATGGCAGAGAGTATACTGCTGTCCCTATAGAAAATGAAATGATATGTACCAATTTTAATGAAGCAATTTAATTACTACACTGGATCAGAAAAAGGAAGTTTTTACAAGATTTCATTTTCATTTTGTGTTGGAATTTTGTTTTCATGGACATTTTATAACCAGTTCTGTCAATTACTATCTGTGTTACAGATGTTAAGGTCCACTGTGTTAACAGGAATTTCCCATATACTGTAATATAGGACCAGATTGTACCTCTCTTTTACATGTGCGGAGAGTGTGGTGGGAAGAATGCAAAGAGCTAAGCAGAATTTCAGCTTCTGCTACACAAGAGATCACAGGGGGGCTGCGCCATCTCTACTTCCCTTGTGGTTCATGTCAGAATGCCTCCTGTTACCATCTGGGGTAATAGAACTCTGGGATATTCCTAATCCCAGTGTAAAGTAAGGAAAGAACAGATCACAATACATTTGTAGTAGTGCACTCTGATTCATCTTTGAAATGAATGGAGATACCTATCTCCTAGAACTGGAAGAGACCTTGAAAGGTCATTGAGTCCAGTCCCCTGCCTTCACAGCAGGACCAAGGACCATCCTGGACAGATTTCACCCCAGATCCCTAAATGGCCTCCTCAAGGAATGAACTCACAACCCTGGCTTTAGCAGGCCAATGCTCAAACCACTGAGCTATCCCTTTCCCTGAAAGACAGGGCTTGGATAATCCTGGGGAAGGCACTTCAGGTGAATTCCATCACTTTTCCTATATAACATGTGGGAGCAAGCAGTGGGCTGCGAGGGGCTGCGTGCTCCTCACTTGGCTTTCTCAACCTGGGGGTCACCCAACAGCCTGTGCACGGGGTGGGTGCAAATGGAGTGCCAGTCCAGAGCACTCAGCCCCATGATGCTCTCACAGAGGAACACCTTACTCCTTCTCACAAGGTTCCTGGAGAGGCCTGCCTTACTCTGGCCTCCGTGGTGGGACACCTTCCCATGACAAGCCTGCACTCGGGCAGCATCCTCTCCTGGTCAAATGCAGTAGTGCAGAGGAGACTGATCCCCTGCACAGGAACCTGCCAGGGTGAGGAAGAGAAGGGGACCCTAGTAGCACACTCTCTGACAAGTGGCCTCTGCCGCTCACACACACCATCTCCAACCTTCCCACTCTAGCGGCCAGAGAGATAAGTTCTCTTTCTGCAGGACGCTGCCAGTGCCAGACCCAGTGTGTGCGGGACACAAAGAAGCCAAGCCACACCATCCCCCACTCCCGCCCACAGGCTCCTGGCCTGGATGGAACCTTCCAAATCCTGAGGATAAGGAGGCAGTGGGGGTAGTGAGTCTACCCTGGGACGTCTGTGCCCCTGCAAGAAAGTGGCTGCAGACAAGGCAACTGAGGCCCTTGTTTGAAGCACATGGCCATTGTTTGAACCAAGACCTTTGGTGTTGGCTCAGAGATATGGGCTAGGCTTCATGCACAGTATCTCCTGGGATGACTGCCTTTGTAACTTTTCTTCACAGTTGGGCCAGCTGCGAGCATGGTGTGTTGACCACCTCCAATGTCATCTTCCTGACTCCATGGGATCTGCAGCAGAAAGCACACCAGGGAAGACCTGCTGTGGGACCAGATGGCTTGCCTCCAGTCCATCTGGGGATTTGATGAGGAGTTCCAGAAGTGCTCCACTGACTGCCAGGAGTGCTGGGCAGACTGGGAGCAGTTGAAGGCCATGTGGGAGCAGCTATCATGCCAGCACGAGGCCATGTGCTCCTCCATAACATGACTGCATGTATGGAGTGGGTCTCCAGCAACATTCCCACTCCCTCAACTCTCTGCCCAATTTCCCACCCAACTCCCTGCTCCCCCTCAATTTCCTGGACCAGCCCCCTGGCTTTGTCTCCTAGCCTCCCAGGGGCTGCCAGGGCCCCCCGAACACATGGCAGTGGGACCGCCTGAGCAGTTGAAGCCTCTTGAGGTAACAGAGGCAGGTACCAGTCCCAGCCCCATCTCTGAGCCCCTTTGCCCCCTTCATCATCCTCCTTCCCCTCCCCCATTCCAGGTTCTTTCCCCAGTCCCTCCCTGTTTTATATCCCCCAAATAAAAAATCAGAGTTGTTTGTTCAAACAAAAAGGCTTCTTTATTTGGTCTGCAGGGGAGGAGGGAAGGTGGGGAGGGAGGGATGGGCAAGGAAAGGCAGAGAGGGGCAATGAAGGGATCCCTTGTGGAGAGGCCCGGGGGAGAGTCTCACAACTCTTTCTTAAGGCCTCCTGAAACTCTTTCTCAAGGCCTCCTGGATGAGCACTGCCTCCTGATGTGCTCTGGTGATGGCACTGGTGTTTGGCTGCTCATAAGCCCTGGCCAGCTGCTCAGCTCTGCTCCCCACCCCAGTGGAAAAGTCTCCCCCTTGCTCTCACATATGTTGTGGGGCACACAGCAGGCTGCCAGGACCTTTGGGATATTGCAGTCGCTGAGGTCCAGGTGGGTGAGGAGACTTCTGAACGTCCCCTTTAGGAGGCTGAAGGCACACTCCACCACCATGCAGCACCTGCTGACCCTGGTGTTGAAGTTCTCCTTGGTGTGGTCCAGGCTGCCTATGTAGGGCTTCATCAGCCAGGGTAGAAAGGGGTAGCCTGCATCACCGAGGATGCATATGGGCATATCTACATTCCCAACCCTGATAGTGTGGTTGAGGAAAAAAGTGCCGGCGTCCATTCTCTGGAACAGGCTTGAGTTCCAGCATATGTGCATGCTGTGTGCCTTCCCTGACCAGCCGATGTAAATGTCCATGAACCGGCCTTTGTGGTCCACCAGGGCCTGCAGCACCATTGAGAAGTACCCCCTGCAGTTTATACAGTCTGAAGCATGAGGTCGGGGGTGAGGATGGGGATGTGGGTGCCATCTATGGCCCCTCCCCTGCGGTCGGGAAAGCCATCAATGACATTCCCCAAGGAGATGACCCACTGCAAGAAAATGGTGTTGATAGCCTTGACTATCTGCACGATCATGGCCTCAACCGTGGATTTCTCCATGCCAAACTGGTTCCCATGGAGCGGTAGCTGTCCAGTGTGGAGAGCTTCCATGGGGTGATGACAACAAGCTTCTGCAGGGGGATGGAGGGTCTCATGCAGGTGTCCCATCACCAGAGGGCAGGGGGGAGCCATTTGCAGAGCTCGAGGAAGGTGGCCTTCTGCATGTGGAAGTTCTGGAGCCACTGCTGGTCATCCCATCCCTGCAGGACGATGCCGTCCCTGAGATGGATTTTTGCGGGTGCGAGCTCCTCGCTCTCTCCCCCTTCAGCTCCCGAGCAAGTCTGGGGAGGGGGCGGGGCCCTGCAAACCCACCGTCTGTGCTTGTCTCTCTGACCCCTACCCGGGTCCTAGGGTTGACGTCCGGGTGAGGAGGCGATCACCCCTCTGCCCCTAACGGCTGAGGGGGTTCGGCGGCCCCTTCGTCAGGCCCCCGCTCCTCGGATTTGAGGGAGGGGGGTCGCAGTGTCGGCGCAGGGCCTGACCTTGGACCAATGTCCTCCTGCAGTCTTGGCCCCCCGGGTTTAAGGATTCAGGGGAATTGCTTGTAGGTAGTGATGATGAGGGGAAAGAGGAGTGGGGGACTCGGGCCCTCCCTCTCCTCCGGGTCCCATCCCGAGGCCCTAAGTGGCGGTTGGCGACCAGCTGTCGCCCTCCACGGCGGACGGGGCTGCTGCCCTCAACTCGCCCGCCCACGGGCGCCAAAAGGGCCCTGCCTCAAGACCTTTGGTGTTGGCTCAGAGATATGGGCTAGGCTTCATGCACAGTATCTCCTGGGATGACTGCCTTTGTAACTTTTCTTCACAGTTGGGCCAGCTGCGAGCATGGTGTGTTGACCACCTCCAATGTCATCTTCCTGACTCCATGGGATCTGCAGCAGAAAGCACACCAGGGAAGACCTGCTGTGGGACCAGATGGCTTGCCTCCAGTCCATCTGGGGATTTGATGAGGAGTTCCAGAAGTGCTCCACTGACTGCCAGGAGTGCTGGGCAGACTGGGAGCAGTTGAAGGCCATGTGGGAGCAGCTATCATGCCAGCACGAGGCCATGTGCTCCTCCATAACATGACTGCATGTATGGAGTGGGTCTCCAGCAACATTCCCACTCCCTCAACTCTCTGCCCAATTTCCCACCCAACTCCCTGCTCCCCCTCAATTTCCTGGACCAGCCCCCTGGCTTTGTCTCCTAGCCTCCCAGGGGCTGCCAGGGCCCCCCGAACACATGGCAGTGGGACCGCCTGAGCAGTTGAAGCCTCTTGAGGTAACAGAGGCAGGTACCAGTCCCAGCCCCATCTCTGAGCCCCTTTGCCCCCTTCATCATCCTCCTTCCCCTCCCCCATTCCAGGTTCTTTCCCCAGTCCCTCCCTGTTTTATATCCCCCAAATAAAAAATCAGAGTTGTTTGTTCAAACAAAAAGGCTTCTTTATTTGGTCTGCAGGGGAGGAGGGAAGGTGGGGAGGGAGGGATGGGCAAGGAAAGGCAGAGAGGGGCAATGAAGGGATCCCTTGTGGAGAGGCCCGGGGGAGAGTCTCACAACTCTTTCTTAAGGCCTCCTGAAACTCTTTCTCAAGGCCTCCTGGATGAGCACTGCCTCCTGATGTGCTCTGGTGATGGCACTGGTGTTTGGCTGCTCATAAGCCCTGGCCAGCTGCTCAGCTCTGCTCCCCACCCCAGTGGAAAAGTCTCCCCCTTGCTCTCACATATGTTGTGGGGCACACAGCAGGCTGCCAGGACCTTTGGGATATTGCAGTCGCTGAGGTCCAGGTGGGTGAGGAGACTTCTGAACGTCCCCTTTAGGAGGCTGAAGGCACACTCCACCACCATGCAGCACCTGCTGACCCTGGTGTTGAAGTTCTCCTTGGTGTGGTCCAGGCTGCCTATGTAGGGCTTCATCAGCCAGGGTAGAAAGGGGTAGCCTGCATCACCGAGGATGCATATGGGCATATCTACATTCCCAACCCTGATAGTGTGGTTGAGGAAAAAAGTGCCGGCGTCCATTCTCTGGAACAGGCTTGAGTTCCAGCATATGTGCATGCTGTGTGCCTTCCCTGACCAGCCGATGTAAATGTCCATGAACCGGCCTTTGTGGTCCACCAGGGCCTGCAGCACCATTGAGAAGTACCCCCTGCAGTTTATACAGTCTGAAGCATGAGGTCGGGGGTGAGGATGGGGATGTGGGTGCCATCTATGGCCCCTCCCCTGCGGTCGGGAAAGCCATCAATGACATTCCCCAAGGAGATGACCCACTGCAAGAAAATGGTGTTGATAGCCTTGACTATCTGCACGATCATGGCCTCAACCGTGGATTTCTCCATGCCAAACTGGTTCCCATGGAGCGGTAGCTGTCCAGTGTGGAGAGCTTCCATGGGGTGATGACAACAAGCTTCTGCAGGGGGATGGAGGGTCTCATGCAGGTGTCCCATCACCAGAGGGCAGGGGCGAGCCATTTGCAGAGCTCGAGGAAGGTGGCCTTCTGCATGTGGAAGTTCTGGAGCCACTGCTGGTCATCCCATCCCTGCAGGACGATGCCGTCCCTGAGATGGATTTTTGCGGGTGCGAGCTCCTCGCTCTCTCCCCCTTCAGCTCCCGAGCAAGTCTGGGGAGGGGGCGGGGCCCTGCAAACCCACCGTCTGTGCTTGTCTCTCTGACCCCTACCCGGGTCCTAGGGTTGACGTCCGGGTGAGGAGGCGATCACCCCTCTGCCCCTAACGGCTGAGGGGGTTCGGCGGCCCCTTCGTCAGGCCCCCGCTCCTCGGATTTGAGGGAGGGGGGTCGCAGTGTCGGCGCAGGGCCTGACCTTGGACCAATGTCCTCCTGCAGTCTTGGCCCCCCGGGTTTAAGGATTCAGGGGAATTGCTTGTAGGTAGTGATGATGAGGGGAAAGAGGAGTGGGGGACTCGGGCCCTCCCTCTCCTCCGGGTCCCATCCCGAGGCCCTAAGTGGCGGTTGGCGACCAGCTGTCGCCCTCCACGGCGGACGGGGCTGCTGCCCTCAACTCGCCCGCCCACGGGCGCCAAAAGGGCCCTGCCTCAGGCTCCTTCCACTCCCCGCTGACTCGCCCCGGTAGCGGG